GTATTGATAAAGCCTTGCCCATCAAAACAGAAATTCAAAATTTATATTAACAGAAAACGTTTTTTTAACTATTCTCACCTGCGTGGATTCGATCACTCTATGCTGAAGGAAGAAGATCCATATTCAAATTCAGGATTTAACTACTAATATTGATAATCTCAATTGGGTTTTTCACTGATATTATTCTCCTCTCTTCTATCAGCTTCCAGGTAGGTGTCCATTTAGAGCACTTCTTTGTCTTGTCATTTCCTTCGTCTCAGAACAGGTCAACACGTTTCCTTGAGCGACATACTCAGAAAGTGGTTTCCAATGTACCTCCACTCAGATTTCCTCAGTGATGCCACGTGGCGTCTCCAAATCTGCTCAGATCTGATCTATACAGAAAAGTATCGCCTGTAGTTTCGGCCCTCAGTTTCTGAATCTTGAACTTGAATTACAGTGTCCAGTCTCCAGTTAATTTTAGAGATTTCATCTTCATCTTGAAGCTTCCTTGAACTAGATGCAGATCTGAGCACACATCTGCTCCCCTTCTCGACTTTGTGTCAAGTCCCGTCCCCACATCCTTGAACACAATTCGAATGAAAATTATCTGATTTGTGGTGTGTCCGTCAGGTTAAATCCATATTGCTTTGTGTATATCCTTGTGTTCGTACACGCTTCCTCTGATTACCAAATCATTGAAAGTGCAGAAGTCTGCCAGGATTTCTCCGTTCACATTCTTCTAGTTGAGCTTGAGCCTCTTAGCCCATAATGAGTTCTCTTCCTGTATTATCTGCTCCCAGTTCGGATGTCATTCTTATCGACCATGAGTATTTAGATGCCTCTGTTTGGGTTGTTGCCCATTAGTGATTGCAATTGTCCATAAAAATCTCTCTTCTTCTCTTGTTACGAAATGATTGTAGGTGAGTAACGTAAGATGATTCCAACTTTCCTTATATTTGAAATGAGTCTTGCAGTCATAACCCTGTAGGATATCGATTACCACTGCATAAGTGCTTTGCTGCTACTGGCGTCATCATGATGAACACTCACTGCCTCACTGTGCTTGTGACTGTCGTCCAAGTGACCGGATTGAGGTAGATAACTGGCTCTCTACTTCATAATTTTGAGAAACCATATACATTCCATTTCCTCCCGTAAATACTCAGCACTACTAAGATATGTCTTCATATTTCTTTGGCTACCTGGACAGCCTTCTAAGTTTCGTACATTGTATGGGTATTCCGCATCTCCATTCCTACTCTTGCATTCAAACAATAAACAAGCAAGCTAGTAATCTTGGCGAGGCAGAATTTAAAATTATATGACATTAAACGCTTTTCCACTTGATATTAAACTTTGATTATAATCACAAATATGTTGTTTGCACTTCATGCTATTATGATCTCATGTATTCACACCATTGATTCAGTTTCCTTACAGCGTATAATTTTTTAAAGAAAACCATGCATACACGATTGTACAGTTTGACAATGAAATCATCGGAAGGAGTCGATCCTCTGAATACAATAAGGACCAAGAGTGTCTTCTCATTTTTCAACTCTTTCTTAAATAAAGTAGATTTCAGATGGTTATAATGTGAAAAACACACTCGACTGAGTATGAGATCGATTTAAAGGAGAAAAGTAAACGCAAAAACTTCAACATAACAAGCAAAGAAGAAACAAAGAAAGCTGAACCAGACAAGATTACCAAAAGTTCACATCAATAATACTTTGCTCACGTCATTTAATTTGCACTAAATGAACGTCAATCAACTAGAGATTACTGAAAGAGAGTAATTCTACAATAATAATGTTATATATTATATATACATATATACCACAATATTATAAAATTATTCTCATTCAGTTATCTTTAGTTGATTGACGTTCATTTAGTGTAAATTAAATGATGTGAGCAAGGCATTATTGATGTGAACCTTTGGTTATCTTGTCTGGTTAAGATTTCTTTGTGTGTTCTTTGCTTGTTATGTTGAAGATTTTGTGTTTATTTTTCACATTATAACCATCTGGAATCTACTTTATTTAAGAAAGAGTTGAACAATGAGAAGACACTCTTGGTCCTTATTGTATTCAGAGGATCGACTCCTTCCGATGATTTCATTGTCAAACTGTACAATCGTGTATGCATGGTTTTCTTTAAAAAATTATACGCTGTAAGGAAACTGAATCAATGGTGTGAATACATGAGATCATAATAGCATGAAGTGCAAACAACATATTTGTGATTATAATCATAGTTAAATGTCAAGTGGAAAAGCGTTTAATGTCATATAATTTTAAATTCTGCCTCACCGAGATTGCTAGATTGCTTGTTTCTTTCCTGTCCCAAATCAGGTTAAATTGAGAGTGTTGTGTGTAGTGCCCAACCTATCAAACCGTTGGTGAAACTGCAACGGAAAGAAAATAGATCAAAATTACTAGAACTGCAAATAAGAATATTATTCTTCACATGAATCTCAGTCTGTTGAAAGCCTTCTGGAAGCCAGTCAGCCAATTTGTTTTTCTCAATGAGTTCAAGAGTTTGAATTTACATGTGGAATATCCATACCTCATCAGATCCTCTGCGTAGGCGCAAAGCGCATACGGAGCTGAGGTAACCTGGAATGGAAACTACACTTCCTGAATGAAATCTTCGTAAAGAATGTTTATTCAAGATGAATGATAGTCGAAAACTTCAAAGAGAAAACCCAAAGAAATAGTATATTACATATATATATATATATATATATAATAGTATATTATGTTAATCTCGACTTCAAAGTTGACCTTCTCAGTGATATACACAAGAGGACAATTGCCACTACTTTAAGACGAACTATCTTCATGGCAAAATTGGGAGTCGTGTTCTCCATTCTTATCTCGACCCGTGGAAGTCCAAAGGACAAGATCTCGCGCATGACCACTTCTATATATATATATATATATATATATATAGTTCACTCATCCAGCGTGGCTGCAGAAAGGAAGTAGTAACTGTATAAGGAGTGCAATAATTGGGCATCCTGTCACCCCTGGTCATTACATTTCAGGAAACGCCTCCTTCAAAGTAATTTACAAAGTGAATAATAACCTGCCAAAAGAATACGTTTCCATCTTCTTTGCATTGAAAAAGGCTTAGCTATTCAGTTAGAAGAACCAGAACTATGCATACAAAGAAAATTATTCAGCCACTTCTGCTTTCATGGTAAAAACTCTATTGATGTTAATATCCACACACATACAAAATAACCACATGTGTATATACATATCTGCTATTGTACAACTGTGAAAATCAATTCGGTGAAGTTGACGTAGAGAGTGAGTGATGATCTCATCGTGGAGTATCTGAATAAAACTACATTCTGCAAGAAGGTTAGAATTGATTCATTAGGAGTATTTCTCTTAATGTATATGTTTTTCAGAACAAAAATTTAGAGCGAACAATTGTTTTCAATAGATTCTTCTTCAGGCTCTACAATTATAAATCCATTAATTTCATTTTGGAACTCTAAACGTAGGAGATATGGTTATCGGAAGTAAACAGTCACCTGGGAAGCCTTGCAAGTTGACTTAGCAGTTGGAATTCCTTATTTGTAATGGTTTTATTATCCATGTCGTGAAATTTTCATCGCCTGTGGAAACAAAACGATTATCAATGTTGGTTTGCAAGGATCATATTGTTCACACTTTTCATAACGAATTGACTTAGATAACAAATGGAAAACCACCATGGAGTGCTTATTTTCTGTTCCACCAGCATAAGCACCTTCCATTTACAAGACAAGCTCGAGGAACTTGCAGTCACCGAGACGCTATCCACTGACTAGCCCATCATTCAAACCTCTGCCAATTCGCGGTAGATATATATGACCTTGGCGGCCTGCTTAAATCTTGGGCTACCAAATACCTTAATCATTACAAATCATATTGCATCTAATTGCTCACTTCCAATTTTATTTTAAATAATTAAATTTTATTCTAATATGTCCTCAAATCGGATTATTTATCCTCGTGAGTATTTAATATCCTTAAAACCTACTGATCGGAAATGCCACAAAAAAGACAAAAAAAAGCATCACGCCGGGTGGCAAAGAGCCTTAAAAAACACCCCTATTCAATTTATGACCGTTCCTGCAATCATGAGTACTAACTGTCGCTCCCTGCCAGCCAAGATTAACTATCTTCAATCACTTGTGTCTTCCATTATATATCGAAATACTGGGATCATATCACTTCAAGAAACATGGCTACACGATCTGTACGATGACAATCTAGTTTATCTAAATGATTTCAAACTATTCAGACAAGATCGATGCAGTTCTAGGAAGAAACGTGGTGGAGGTGTCGCCATCTTCATAAATTCACAATGGTGTACATCTAATAAAGTATGTTTCAAATTCTCTAGTGACAACATTGACTGCCTCACCGTCAAATGTCGACCTAAGCATTTGTCAAAATATAACTACATATACATCTCGAACATTTATATTGCACCTGGATGCAATTCCACTGAATTGTCTTTATTTGCTGATGAATTTACCTCCTTTGCTGCCACCTCCTTCGGAAACTCGTTGTCTATTGTTACTGGAGATTTCAATTCTAGTGATCACAATTTCCTTATTTCACTTGGTCATGATAACATTGTCAACTTCCCGACTCGAATGGATAATATTCTAGATCTTGTGTTCACAAATGACATAGGAATATTTGAAGCTCGGAAAAGAGCCCCACTACTTAACTCTGATCACTGCATCATAAGAGTATTGCCCAAGGTATATGGAAAGCTGCACAAAAGGGTCTTCTCCCACCTTGGAAAGAAAACACAACACAGATGCTATTCACATGATAACATACAGAATCTAAGGACAATGTTAAAAGACACAAACTGGGACCTGTTTACTGAACAAGCTCTTGACAACACGATTAGTAACATAACACATTATCTCAATTTCTGTCTTGATGTTTGTTGTCCTAAAGAGACAATCTTCCTTAAGTTCGACCGTTTCGCGTCATCTCAACTCAAAAAGCTTCGCCGTCAAAAAGAGAGGTTATACAAAATGAAAAATAAATCTGGTGTTAAGAGAATAAACACTTTGATTAAAGCCGAATTACAAAGACTAAATGCTCTCTATAACCAGAAGTTTCTTTCATGTAAATCCTCATCTAATATGTGGAAGCTATTAAAGGAAATCACAGGTGGTAAGCAAATAATGAATGATACTTCTGTCGATGTTGATATGCTAAATAAATCCTTCATATGTATCCCTGCAGATGTTATGATTCCCAAATCTAATAGTATAAATAATGACTGCTTTTCATGTTTTAACACGAATGATGTCCTCAAGTGTCTTCAATCTCTCAAACCTACCCAGTCCCTTGGTCCTGATGGAGTTCCTGCTGTTATCCTTAAGAAGTGTGCTGACATCTTATGTTACCCATTAACTGACATTTTCAATGAATCTTTTTCCAAAAGTTTTATTCCTGACTCATGGAAAAATATCAAGGTTGTTCCAGTGCCCAAATCAACAAGTGGACCTACTGTCAAGTTTAGACCCATTGCTATTACCTCACCTTTTTTAAAAGTTATGGAAAGACTTATTTTACTTAATCTTGAACCCTCTTTAAAGCCTTTTAACGACCCCAACCAGTTTGCCTATAAACATAGTAGGTGTACCCTAGATGCCGCTGTAGTTCTATATCATAATATAGTCTCTAGTTTAGATAGAGGAGCCAAATATGTTCGGTGTGCCTTCCTTGATTACACATCTGCATTTGACTCTGTACCTAGGTCTCTCTTGTTAAGTAAGCTTGCTGCAACACAGAGTGAGAGCTGGATAAATAAGTGGTTGTATTCCTACTTTTCTGATAGGAAGCAGTACACTGTCTACAATGGAAAGTCCTCCTCTACCTCGCTTACTTTAGCTGGTGTTCCTCATGGTGCCGTTCTTTCTCCTTTTCTGTTTTCTTTTTTCTTACATGACTTGCCCCATTCTGATGTAGCCACTTTTGTCAAGTATGCTGATGACCTCTCTGTCTCCATGCCTGTCCACTCTCAGTCTGACTGTTCCATATTAAATAACTTTCTCTCGGAAATTAGTCAGTGGTCCTCTTCAAACGGTCTTAAGCTGAATCCGTCTAAATGTCAGGTAGTAAATTTTACTTTCAGACGAAAAAGTGACCTTCAACAACTAGCTAGCTCACATGGTCCCACTATCATAGACGGCATAGAGGTTGAAACTACATCAGATGTCAAGCACCTTGGACTGAGTATTTCCTCCGATCTTTCCTGGTCCTCTCACATCTTGCTAGTGACTAGAAAGATGTTTCGCTTAACGTTCTACCTTAGGAAGTTTAGGCAGTCTGGTATAAAGCAGTCTTTACTTTCTCAGTTTGTCAATTCCTGTATTCTACCCATCCCTCTTTACTGCTCCCCATTAATCTTTCCAGGACTACTTAAGAAAGACTTTGCTTCGCTGCATAGGGCACTAAAAGCTGTTAGTAGGGCAAGTGGGATTTCGTTAAACCAACTGGTTAACACAACTGTGGATAGACATATAATGTCATGTAAGAAACTAGCGAATTCTATATTGTCAGACCCCGAACACCCTCTCTATACGCAGCTCTCTCCTTGCATTTCATCCGGTAGAACTAGAAGCAACTATAGGAAGCTATATGCCAGGACTACCAAGTATAAAAACTCCACAATACCTTATCTGGCACAGCTGTTATGTGATGAGAAAACTGTTAGGCATGACATGATCAACTTACTGCGGCACTCTAACAAGTAGTTCCCATTAACTTTTGTTCTCCTTTCTTTGTTACTATTATATTGTTGCTCATATATTCTATTACAGACTAATTTTATATATCATATCCTGTAGTGCATTGTTTAAATATGTGAATGCAATGCTGTTCTTTTTTATTTCTTTTATTTCTCTTTTTCTTTTGTTGTTGTTGCTTTATAATTTTAAATCCTTATAAAATTTATGAGGTAATTAGATGCAATATTGTAATGAACGCTGAAAATTCCATACCTGTACCACAAATACTGTTTGGAATAAAGCCATTATTATTATTATTTTTATTATATATATCTAGTGCAACCTCTAGCCAATGTCATTAGCGAGTAACCGATCTCTCACCTAACTTAGTTCACTCCATTGGTTATTAATTTTCACCTGGTGGTCCTGGATTCAAACCACTGCTGTGGATGGGCACTACTGGGAAGACATTGATCGCAGTTTTTCTGTATGTACAAGTTTGTTTGTAAACATATGACAGCAGTCACCTCAGTAAATCGTAACCAATTTAAACAAACTGACTGAGTGTGTAGTTCCGCAGGACGATTCAAGCTCAGCTGCAGAGAAGTACAATTTATTTTTATTTTTCTGAACCTTCTGTTTGTCATAATTTAAGAAGAATCTCCTTGTTTCTAAGACACTTCTCAACAAAGCTTGATTTTTCTCCAGCTTGTTGCTTAAACACAAATTCTCGAATTTGTCGAATGATGTAATCGACGTCTTCACCTTACAAAAAAGAAGCTGTCACATTGCAGGTATTGCCCCTCAAGAGTCGCTTTACTACGGGTGGACTTCTGGAGAGTAATCTGATTTCATCGTCTCACATTATTCTGTATGTAGTGCAATTCTTTCAAACAATTCAGAGGAGTGATTTTTATCGTTGGAATCAATATAACTACATTCACATGATACTTCACCTTCCATTTTTCTTATGTGATCACTTTTATTAAGCTGGTCACCAATACACTATACATTACATGATCGCGTGTTTTAAGGTTCACAAGTATTTCCATTCTGTTATTGCTGTTTCATTTAGCTAAGTTAATTATCACCCGGTTGACATATAATTCACCATTACTGGATGGTGGATTGTGACGGACAGTACTAAAAACGGGGTATATATGTTTATATCAGAGTAGAGTCATTGATGAGCGCGTTATTCGGAGAAATAATCTGAAGCATTCGCTTGCATCGATTTGGTAGAATTCAAAAAGGATCACGAACTGGCTACAGTTAGAGAACCAATGAAACCAGAGAGTACCGTGCAGATATTCCTTCTTTGTTTGGTAGTTATATCCACTTCAAGCACCTTTAGTTGTTACTAACCTCAAGACATTTCGTAAACATTCTTGAAACCAGTAGAATTTCTAAAAACCAAAACTTAAGGAATAATCAAGTGCTCGCTGGTGACTGACTGCCTGATAAACTTGTCCTACATTCTACTGAGAAATCGTGACCATTGAGGTTCGCCAAGTACAGAATCAGGACATATACCCACTGTTTTTCCTGATGGTAGCGTTATACCGCAACGATCTAACCATGTAACCTGTAGACACTAGGTGTGATTGATAGTGTTATTGGGTGCGTGCACTGATGAAGTGTTGAAAACAGGGATGAAACAGCTGTACACTGTTTCGTGTTGGTTTCTAATAGTACTCTGAATGTTAACAGTTCGTGATCAATCTTAAAATTAAGAGGCAACGTTTCTTTCTCCAACGATTTGTAGCCTAAATATTGAAATTCATGTTTTCGCTACACATAATTAAGGTATATACACAAGCTAAACCTCCTGCAAATTGGTAATACAATTCAAATGCAAAATTTACAAATGAGATGTCGCATTGGGATTCGTAGGAAAATTCAATAACTTATGCAAGTAAACAGTCAAGGAAACAAAGAGTTAAGCTTGTGTCCAAGGGCGACGTGGAGAAGAACATATGAAAAGGAAATGAGTGACAATGAGCTATCATGGGGTCAGATAAAGAGGATCACAGATAGTTCAATGAAGTGCATGTGTGCTGTTGAAGTCCTATGTTCCACTCGAAACCCAAGGGAACGTTCATATCAGAATTCTTTCATTTCCTATCACCTCGTCATTTTCCCTATATATTGCTAAGAAAAGTGTGTGTCTTATCCAACTGGGCAAAGTGTGTTGCGTCAATACTTAACACAATTCAAATCCATCGCCTTTTCTTATTGTTTTGTCAAAATTGATAAACGTAACAAAATTGTTTGAAATTATATTTAATCGAAAGGTGGCTTCTGTCACTTATTGACGTCAGTTAGAGAATCATAGAAAATTATGTGGACTGGCCACCATGTTGTCCTACTCTCATCAGAGGTTGACATCTGTGATCCAATGATGGATGATGACCAGGACCTTTAAGTTCCTGATAAGATGAAGTGCAAAACTCTCTTACTATTGTGGTGAAATCCAATTACCCATAAATTCTACTTTCTGTCGTTTCGCGATTTATCGTCACTATCAGCTAATTTAACATCTAAATACCTTTCCTAACATCTCCTTGGTGGACTTTGCTGGTTACCTTTTCTAATCAGCAGCTCGGAAAATCTCTCCTGTAGTGAGTCACTTAACAGCAATGAATTATCTCTTGAGCGTCTAGTTTAGTAAAAGAAATTTGCTCACAAAATTGCCAGAAATGCAACACTTGAAATCATGTTTAGATGTAGAACATGATCTTCGCAGTAATACTCCTGAATACTTTTCGCTATTACACTAGTTGAAATTGTAGTAAATTACTCACTTACTAAGTTAACAGACATTAGTGTTAAATGTAAGCAATATGTGAAATTATCTATTTCCTTATTAGACTGATCACTTTCAAGCTGTGAGAGAGTTTTGTGAAATGTTTCTGATTCAGTAATATCTACTGGTCAACTGACTATATGCACTATAAGTCAATCTTCGTATTTCAAGTTAGTAGAATACAGGGATTGTAGCTGAGATTAAACAGCCTATGAAACAGATTAAAATGAACACATATAATGAGCCAAATAATTATGGAATTAGATCCCTATTAAACCGACATTTTTCAATAGATCCATTATGTATCGCAAATTTGAAGTGAAATGATTGCCATGTGTATAAAATAAACCAAATCTGTACTGGTTTCAAGTTAGAAGACGGATAGATAACAGTCATCGAAGCACTGATAACCAACTTCAAATGTACGAATCCACCAGAGATCGTGCAAGTTAGAATTTTTGCAGTGACCATTGAGTCGGATCCCTGTGGCTGAAAAGTTTGTAATCTTGCTTTGTAACCGGAAGGTACCATGTCCGAACTCCAGTGGGGGGGGTCTAAATTTGAAGTACATATCAGTCTATTTTATGAGAAGGGATTGGTTGATTCGCCTTCACATGGGTGATAAACATGGAGAGCAACAGTGAACGTAAATCAATTTGCTGTTGTTTTTTTCTGTAACCAATGAACTACTGACTGATTTTATATGCTACGTAGTATGCCTGTTACTTGACAAATATAGCTGCATCTTTAGATAGGTGAACACAAAAATGAGATACACATATGTGCACCACATACATACATAGTGTGTGTTCAAATATAACTATAATAAGGTCAAGTGTGAGAGATTTAGTCATAAAAATATTTCGCAGGAGAAAATACTCATAACTAACACTGACGACAGATTTCCAATCATGCGAAATTTGCTATTAAAGGCATCACTTTGCCTTCAACTCCTACTGTCTAATAACAATGCAAGTAATGAAAGTAAGTTGTCTGTTAATCTTTTTATATAAATTTTTAGAATATTATCCTTTCGCTTTTTGTAGTTTTATTTGATGGGACAAAATTTGTCAACCTCACTTTTTATACATTATAAATTATTGAAATTAATCCCAGTGTGTTTAAGTAAAAATGAAATCAAGATTGACTTTTACTTCGTCACTACAAATATATGATGACCGCTTAAATATTTCAATTGGTACAAATGTCTTTGGACAAATGACCTTCAATTAAACTGACTTCAATTTATCTAAAAAAAGGTTTTGACTATATGTTT